AAAATATTTGGTAAATTAACTTTTAGCTAATAGCTAATTACATGTAAAATGACTTTATCAAAAAATTGATCGAAAAAACTGCTTTGTAAATTTTAGCATTTTGAAGCAATAATTTATTACAAAAAGTTAATTAATTAAACACTTATACTAATTATTATTTTTATATACAATCTACACACACACCAAATCTCAAACTTTAGACCTCCCACATAGGGAAGCAACCAGATATCAATGGATCACAAGATCCTTGGTTCATATTGATTATTTAACTAAGTCAAATAATTAATGATAGCCAAATAAGTAAAAGTTAACTGCTAAACTGACTATATTACCAAATAGAGCCAAAGTCTTTCAATTTTTTATTATTTTTTTATTAATTGAATAGTCGAGCGATACTTTAGAACAAATATTTTTTAGTCTTTGGATTACCAAATAGAAATTTGTCATATATACCTTTGAATCATGAGTCTTTTTTTACTTAAAAGGAAACAAGTCAAATATTGTACGCAAACTCCATGTAATAATGTAATGTAGAGCAAGTTGGAGCAGGTTTATAGTTGTGAACCATGCTCTACTTTCATAGGCATTTGAATTTTCAATAAATACTCTTAATATTTTAAATGCAAGAAAACTTCATATATCTCAAATAGTCGGATAATATATGAATGTGACGTGAAATAAAGTCATTTAAAATTTTTTACAATGTGGGAGTTACAATACTATTTAATTTATAGAGTAAATACCAGTCAAGGTCCCTCGAGTTTGGTGATTTCACCACCTTTAGTCCCTAACTTTCGCAATTACCATTCATGGTCCTCCGAGTTACGAAATGTGACCAGCTACCGTCCTTCCGTTACTTCATTCCGTTTCAACCGTCAAAATCGTGGATATATTTGTCATTTTCCATATAACAAACATTAAAACTTAAAACCCATATTCCAAAACTTTCTTTTTTTTTTTTTTGAAAGCCATATTCCAAAACTTTCTGATTCAACAATTTGCAGCGAAGTTGAAAAGTAAAGACTCCAACTTTCACCAGTAATCACCAAAACCCTAGCTAAAACCGCAAGAATCAAATACCAGATAACACCATGAGAAAAAGAATACCTTCACAGAAGTGGATGCAACCACGGGATCGGAGTGGAGGGTGCCATTAGAACTCGCGTGATTGGAGTAGTCTTCGTAGGAGCAAAGAATATAATCGGAGGCGGCGAAGTCAAACCCTTTGGAGACAGAATTGTTGGTCAGAGCTGACGATCCAGATGCCATAATAACCGCGAACAAAGAATCTTAACACTTTTGTTGAAGCTGCGAATATTTCTAAAGACTATGCAAGGAGAGGGGAAGAAAGTCCTCGAAGTAGAACTGTAGAAGCAGGTGTGTGTGGACACAAGATGAACTAACGTGAAAATCATGGCGGTTAGACTTCGAGGTTTGGTACTGAAGAAAGGCATAATAAGGATTAACCCTGACCGACCATAATTATTTGCATCAAACTAAAATCCAAATATAAAAATCAGAATTGCATAATCAAACAATAATCTTCCCAATATAACGATTCGCATGAGCAAAAGATATAGAGCTCCTCCGCTAAAAGCAAAGCTCCGCTAAATTTCAACCATACGCACAATCAATTCAAGAAAGAAGGTAGAAAATTGTTTGTAATCTTGTATTTAATTTGTTCCGATCTCAATTTGATTCGCATTGGTTGAACAAGAACGGAGGATTTGAAGAAGATTTATGGGGAATTACAAAGGGGCGGAGAAAGAACAGGAAAATGGAGACGAAGAAGATGAGGCATTATTGTTGTGTGATTTTCCAACAAACAGGAGAATCAGTTCAAGAAAGAATCTTCGACTAGCATCGGCGGCGGGGAAGAGGAGTTTGATTTCTGCTTGTGGGGTTGGTCGTTGAAGGAATTGGAGATGTGCGCTGCGGTGCGGCCGGAATCTGCTGCAATTCCATTAACCGGTGCTATTCGGCCAGGTACACCACCGCGAGCACTAGAAGTAGCAGCGCGAGAAGCTACCGACTACCACCCCGCACCATAAAATCTGAAACCAGTTACAATACTCTTAGCCCAGCCCGACGCACAGCTTTGATTCTCGAAGGTTCTACACGCTAATAACTACGCCCGCAATTCCACCCTTTGAAGCCTCTTCCACGTCGGCCTCATCATAATGCCGGAAATCGGATCCTAGAGTTTCAAGCTAGCTCAGAACAGAGACAATCGAAACAAATGAGTGAAATGAAAAATATACCCACAATTTTGACGGTTGAAACGGAATGAAGTAACGGAAGGACGGTAGCAGGTCACATTTCATAACTCGGAGGATCACGGATGGTAATTACGAAAGTTTTGGACTAAAGATGGTGAAACCACCAAACTCGAGGGACCTTGTCTGGTATTTATTCTTAATTTATACTTTATGCTTTGTTAGAGATACATAGAAAAAGTAAAACTTTGCAGGAATTGACGAGTACTTTTCAAAATGGACAAAGTGCGTTCATGGTAATGTAAATTTTTTCAACTAATTTAAGGGAAATCTCAATGGAGGATTTTGGGTGTTGTGGAAGAAAGAAAAACTAATATGACAAAGGTGAGAGAATGTTTGAGTTTGGCAAAAGAGTTTTTTTTTCTTTTTTTTTTTTTTAAAGAAAAAAAGAAGAGGACATTTTTTTTTTTTTGAAATACTATTGACCCTATCATATGTAGTATCTGTTTATTGTGGACCATTATTCAAAACAATGTCATTTCTTTTAATGAAAAGAAATAACAATCGTTCAGTGTAATTAGCTCTGTTTGTATAACATATTCAATTTCATTTTACATACATTGTAGTTTTATTTCAGTACAATTAAAGTTTCATTTCGTTTCAACTATATAGTTTCATTTGACATTATATATACAATAGTCTTATTTTAGTGAGACCTATTATTGAATTTCAATTTATATACAGTTTAAATGAATTATAATTATAGTTCAATTACAGTTTCATTGGACAATATACACTCAAAATGTGAAATTTTTATTCAGCTTCATTTTATATACACGGTAATTGCATTACAACACAACTAAAGTATCATTTTAATATAATTAGAGTTCAATTTGACAATATACACTCAATATGTGAAACATGTTATTCAGTTCCTTTCTATACATACTGTAGTTTTATCTCAACAAAATTAAAGTATCATTTCAATTCAACTACAATATAATTTTATTAATTTGACAATATTACACTCAATATGTGAGACATGCACGTTATTAAGTTTCATTTTATACATATTGTAGTTTCATTTCAACACAACTAAAGTATCATTTCAATTCAATTACAGTTTCATTTGATAATATAAACATAATATACGAGACAAGTTATTCAGTTTTATTTTAGGATACACTGTAGTTTTATTTTGTTCTGAAAATACAAAAAAAAAATAAAGAATTTGTTAAAATTTCAAGGCTTCCGTTTCCTTACTTAATGAAACAACATCATTTTCGGACCATGATTCACCTTATAATTACCGTATGATCAATCAGTGCATAAAAACATATTAAGGAATAAATTAGGAGTATAATATCACTCTAAAAGAATATATATATATATATATATATATATATATATATATATATATATATATATATATATATATATATATAGAGAGAGAGAGAGAGAGAGAGAGAGAGAGAGAGAGAGTATTTGTAAATGTGTAACACAATTCTTTTTAAAAATCGAATAATCTTAGGGAGTGTATTCAATCATGATTTTTTTAGACTTTTAAAATGATAGATTTTAATAAATTTTGATTGACTTTCGTAGAGTCAGTCAAAACTTTTTAAAACTTTGTAACACTCTATAAAAGTCTATATAAAGAACATTCATAAATTTATATCAACCTTTTTATTTTAAAAAGTCTACAAAAGTCATTGAAATTCTAAATTGAATACATCCTTACAAACTATCAATGATTTCCACTCTTATCATTTATAATTTTTTAACAAAAACATGTTATAATATAGGCTAAAGTGTCATCCCGCACCCTGAACCATTACTGATTATTCATGCCGCACCATGTTCTTTAATAAGTGTTATTCCGAGCCATAAACCATTTTTTTCCCGCCTAGCATTTTTTGTAAGTTACCTACAAGTTGCAGGTAATAAAATGCTGACATAGACTTTTTTTTTCTTTTTTCTTTTTTCTTTTTAATTCTAGCACCTTGGTCATAACTTTGTGTGTGGCGGAATTTCCAACTGGTTACCCATGGATGATTGCATCACAATGGCATCTCAAGACCATCTCCTAACCATCGTCTTCCTCCTTCTCTTCTGACTCGCCGCCGGAGCTTCCACGGAGCAGGCGAAATTTTCAGTTAGTTAGTTCTGTTGGTTAGCTTCTTTCCTTTTCCCGCTTTCACTAAGTGTATAGCAGATATAACCAGTAGCCCTGTAAAGCAGAAAACTGATTTTGTCATTCATTCAATATACATTACGTCTCTTCTTTCCTTTGAGATCCTCAACAATACATGCATATTATTCACCCAACTTTGCATGCAAAACAGAACATAATCAATATATATAACATGAATATATAATATACTCCGTAATAATTAGGATTAGGATGAAGCTGAAAGCCACATATATATATATATATATATATATATATATATATATATATATATATATATATATATATATATATATATATATATATGAAGGCCACTCTCAAAATGCAAAGGAAAAGTGTGTGAAGACTTAGCATTAGCCTCTTATTATATATCTCTGGTTATTATATTTTTCTAGTTGATATTTCTCCTTTGCCTAGTCTTGTGGTTAGGTGTAACCACACCTCAATTTATGGCTCTGTAACTCTATATAAAGCTTTGTACATACTGGGAATAAACTACAGCTTTCATATTCTATCATGGTATCAAACCCTACACTCTAGCGAGAAAAATACATTTTTTTCCCTCTCCTCTCTCCTCCTCCCTATCGCCAGTCATGGCTGCTACCAACACCCCTATCATAACTCACCTTCACACCCCAACCCATTTACCAATTAAACTTACATCCTCGAACTTTCCCATTTGGAAGAAACAGGTCGAGTCTACTCTTATAGGTCTCGACCTCCTAGGCTACATCACAGGCTCTACTACAGCTCCGACAAAGTACTCTGATACAGCTCGCACTGAAATTAATCCCGCCTACACAGCTTGGTTCAGGCAGGATCAAATCATTCTCAGTGCCATTCTCGGCAGTCTTTCCAATGTCTTGCAACCGGTTATCTCGTCGGTTGCTTCTGCAAGTGATGCGTGGACACGTCTGTCCACTAGCTGTGCCGCTACGTCGAAGGGACGTGTGGTGTCGCTAAAAGCAAAACTTGCCAAAAATCTTAGGGCCAACCGGTCTATTGACTCGTACATGAGGGAAATGCGAGCCATTGCCGACGATTTGGCTCTTGCTCAAAGTCCGGTGAGCGAAGAAGACCTCGTGGTTCATATATTCACGCAACTTGGCGATGAATACAACCCCATTGTGTCGGCTCTTCGCGTGCGAACCGAGACTATCTCATTTAGTGAGTTGCACGATGTGCTCACTGATTTTGAGGGGTTAATGAAAGATAATGAAGCTGCCTCGCACATCCATATGCTGGTTGCGAATGCCACACAACGCCGGTATAATGGTTCAGCTGACTTCCAATCTCAAACTTACAATCGACGTGGCAGAGGGTGACACAACCAGGTGAAGAATAACGGCAACCGGTCTGCCAGGTACTGTAATTATTGTGAGTATCCAGTGCACGACACCAAATTCTGCCGGAAACTAGCCAAGGTTTTGAAGGAGAATGATGTGGATGTGCTTGAGCCACGCAACATCGCTCGGCAGTCTCCGTCAGTTCATGCTACATCAACCGTGGCTTCGCCTACTCAGTCCTGGCTCATGGACTCTGGAGCCTCGCATCACACGGTCAATGATGCCACGTCGCTTCATGCTCTGGCGGACTACACCGGACCGAACGAAATCATGCTGGGTGATGGTAAGTCATTACATATCTCACACACTGGGTCAGTTTCTATACCACCGAATAGTCGATCCCTCATATTGTCTGATGTTTTGTGTGTTCCGAGTTTGCACCAAAATCTTGTTTCTGTTTCCAAACTCTGTAGAACTAACTCAGTTTCTGTTGAATTCTTTGACACATATTTTGTGGTTAAGGATCGGCAATCGGGAACTCCTCTCGTACAGGGTCCAGTCGTGAGTGACGTTTACAACCTCCCAGTCCAGCGGCCTCAACTTAATGTTACCACCAAGTGTTCCCTGTTAAGTTGGCATCATCAGTTTAGTCATCCCAACTCTAAAGTGTTAGCCTGTCTTCTTAGAAATAACAATATTAATTTCATGCCTGATAAGCTTAATGCATTTTCTTGTAACTCGTGTCATGTTAATAAAAGTCACAAACTCCCGTTTTCCTTTAATTCCATGACCAGTTCACGCCCGTTGCAGTTACTTTACACGGATGTGTGGAGTTCCGCAACGGTCTCCGTGGATGGTTTTAAATATTATTTCAATTTTGTTGATCATCACACCAAATATGTCCAGTTGTTTCCTATTAAACTTAATTCTGATGTCCCCACTATATTTCTCCAGTTCAAACGCATGGTAGAGACTTATTTTGGCTATAATATTGTTTCGATATTTTCTGATAATGGGGAGGAGTATATCAAGTTGATTCCTATTTTTAATTCTATGGGTATTTCACATTTCACTTCACCTCCGCATACTCCGGAGCACAATGGGCCGGCTTAACGCCGGCACAGGCACATTGTCGAGACTGGTATGGCGCTACTCCATTATGCGTCCATGCCAGCTTCGTACTGGCCCTATGCGTTTCAAACCGCTGTTTATTTAATAAACCGAATGCCCACTGCAATTCTCGGTTATTCTACACCATATGAGCGCTTATTCAATAAACGCCCAAACTACCGAAAAATTCGACCATTCGGGTGCCTGTGTTATCCTTGGTTAAAGCCTTACTTCCCAGCCAAATTAAATCCAAAGTCCCTTCCCTGTGCCCTTTTAGGGTATTCGTTGAGTCAGTCTGCCTATAAATGTTTAGAAATGTCCAGTGGGCGGGTCTATGTTTCGCGTCACGTACAATTTGTGCCAAATGGATTTCCATTCCAGACTATGGTTTGTAAGTCTGTATCAACTAACCAGGTGTGTGTTTTAACGTGGGTGAGACTCTGCCTTTGCCTGCTTACTTTACTACAGGTCATATTTGGAATGCCACTTCTTGGTGAACATCATCCACCTCCCTTGGCCTTGACGACGGACGTAGCTACAATGTCGACGCCGGTACAGCCACACCCACCAGCAGCCTTGGTGGTCACTACAATGGGGTCCCCGGCAGCCCCTTCACCGTCTGGTCAGGATTCGGGGGCCCGCACACTGCTTCTGCTCCGTCGTCGCCGGTGTCTGCAGGTTCGCGTGGGGAGTCGCTGATTGACCTGATGGTTCCGAACTCACCGATGGCCGTTGGACTTCAGGAACAGCCGTCGTCTGAACGAGTGTCTCAGTCGGTGGAGGCGGTGTGTCCAGTCCGGTCGGCTAGTTCCACTCTGGTTCCCTCTATGCAAACAGGTTCCTTGTCGGCTTCCTCCACGCAGGCAGAATCCACGCAGGTTGATGAGAATGATGGTGCGGTCGTGGCAGATCAAGCTACTGTAGTCCCTTCCTTGCGGCGGATGAACAGGCAGCGTCGTCCAAATCCGAAGTACTTTAACGACAAATTTGTGAATCTGACAACCTCGCATCCTGTTGCTCCGTCCGTTGAACCACGCACTGTAGACCATGCGTTGAAGTGTGACTTATGGCGGGATGCTATGATGGATGAGTTTAATGCACTGGTGAAGAACTCTACTTGGGAGTTAGTGCCCCGAGCCAATCGTAATGTGGTTGGTTGTAAGTGGGTGTTCAGGGTTAAGCGTAGAGCTGATGGTTCAGTAGACAGGTTCAAGGCTCGGCTGGTTGCCAAGGGCTTTTTATAGGAGCCTGGACGAGACTACTTTGAGACCTTCAGCCCGGTAGTCAAACTGGTCACTGTGCGTGTTATTCTTAGCATTGCGTTGTCGCGGAGCTGGGCGTTACGCCAATTGGACGTGAATAATGCCTTTCTAAATGGTACACTGTTCGAGGAAGTTTATGTGGCCCAACCTGCGGGGTTTGTTGATAACGAGAAGCCGAATCATGTTTGTCGTTTGAAGAAGGCTATTTATGGGTTAAAAACAAGCCCCTCGGGCTTGGTATCTTGAATTATCGGACTTTCTCGTTTCGTGTGGTTTTCAGAAGTTTGTGGCTGACTCTTCCCTATTTATTTATTTATTGTACCTATGATGTTCTTTTGTATTTCTTGGTATATGTAGACGACATTATTGTTACAGGTAACAATGATGCTTTCACCGCGACCTTTGTCTGTCGCTTATCACAGCGGTTTTCGTTAAAGGATTTGGGTCCGTTGCATCACTTCTTGGGCGTCGAAGTGGTGTCTACGCTAACTGGTCTGTTTTTGTCTCAAATTCAGCATGTGGTTGACATACTGGAACAGTTTAGCATGACGGGGGCGAAGCCAGTTTCTACTCTGATGTGTACCTCGGTTGATTTAGGTGCGGATGCTACGCCTTTTGACTCCACGACTTATCGCCGTGTCATTGGTCGCCTCCAATACTTGTCGATTACCAGGCCTGATGTTTCGTTTGCGGTGAATCGCTTGGCTCAATCTATGACATCACCAACTGAGAGTCACTGGCAAGCTGCAAAGCGGGTCCTGCGCTACTTAAAGGGTACGTTGCACTTTGGACTATATTTTTGGCGTGGTTGTCATCTCTCTCTTGTGGCATACTCAATTCCGACTGGGGGGGGGGGGTGTTCGCGATGGGGGGTAGTCCACCACAGCCTACTGTGTGTTTTTTGGCTCCAATCTCATCTCCTGGAAGTCTACTAAACAACGTTTTGTGTCTCGGTCCTCCACGGAAGCTGAATTCCGGGCGCTTGCTAATTCCGCTGCTGAAGTTATGTGGGTTCAAAGTCTGTTACGTGAGCTTGGTGTTGGTCTGCGCTCTCCACCGCAATTAATTACTGATAACTTTTTTTTTTTGAATGCTAATTACTGATAACTTAAGTGCCTCGTATGTGTGCAAAAACCCAATTTTCCACTCGCGAATGAAACACTTGGCGCTTGACTATTTTTTTTTTTGCGTGAGCAGGTTGTGTCTGGGGCTCTGCGTGTTAGCTATGTCCGATCAACTGAGCAGGTGGCTGATTTGCTGACTAAACCGCTTAGTTATCGTTTGTTTGCTGTGTTCCGGTCCAAGCTTAGGCTCGCTGACGGTGCCTCAATCTTGCGGGGACGTGTGAAGACTTAGCATTAGCCTCTTATTATATATCTCTGGTTATTATATTTCTCTGGTTGATATTTCTCATTTGCCTAGTCTTGTGGTTAGGTGTAACCACACCTCAATTTATGGCTCTGTAACTCTATATAAAGCTTTGTACATACTGGGAATAAACTACAACTTTCATATTCTATCAAAGTGAAAATTGAATTCTACCCAAGAAATTACATTTGAACCTCCGAGCATGAGGGGGCAACGACGCCTGGGCTGGGGATGCCGATGACCTCCCCGAGAAGAAACACTCCCTGCTATTTCTTGCCCAGAACAAAGTGAAAATGATCCAAATGCAGAAAAGCTCTAATCGATCCTTTCTTGAAGATACTAGTTTCCAACAGCCACACTTCTATCACCGATTTTCTCTCCGTCCTAGCACGCCGGATGCTTGAAAAACATGTTCTTCCACTTCCTCACCGTCCACCGACACTTCCGGGACCTGAACGCCACCATTTTCACCACTTTCCCGTACCTTAATTTCCGGCTCTACCACTTCAACCCTGCCCTCGTTCGCCACCTCATCTCCTCCTCCATCCGCTGCGCGCTCGACAGACTCTTAATTAAGCGGGCATCTACCTCGTCAATCTCCTCCCCACCACAGTCACCCGCATTATCTACTTCAATTCCGACCTCAACGTCGTCAATGACGTCGAAAATCTCTGGAGAATCGACCTTGGAGCCCTATAATACAGCCATGCCAACTTCACCCTCTATTATTATTACTAGTATTGCGTTGCACGGAATGAATTTGTTATAATATATTAAGAATATTTGGGTCGTTACACAATTATTCAAATTATAACATCAAATATTATATAGTGCAATTGAAGATATGGTTTGGATCGTTTATGTTTGTTGATGCTATCATTACTTGATAATTGCTCAAATTAATAGCTAATGTGTAGACGTACGCATGCGGTGCTATAACTTTAGAGATTTTATATATCATTGTTTAAGATTTTTATAAATTAGGCAAATGTGATCTGCCAATCTTGTGATGATGAGTCGCGTCCCATTACAAATACCAAGAGAGTGGACTATGTTCTGCAATAACATAACAGGTGCACCGACCTTTAATGTCAATGAATGATGAATGATTAGGAGGACCCGACAATCTCAAACTATTTAAGAATTCAGGAGTGTGTACTTCTAATAGATTTTCATTGTCTGATTCTGTCTTACACAAAGAGTTACAAATTAAATATGTTTGTCCTTTTGCAGTATTCATGTCGCATATGTACTGATTAGTTTGATCAACGACATCTAAAGTCGGCGAGAGGATCGCTCGGCCTTTTAGTTGTGACTCATCAAGCATGTCATATCTCGAGCTTGGGAAGGTGCTTTCCACTATAGTTGCTATGGGATTGTCTCCACACTTCAACAAAAATGAGTAAATACCCAAAATGGTCCCTCGACTATAGCTAAATTCACAAATTGGTCCTCGACTTTCAATTTCAACCAATTAAGTCCTTAACTTTGCAATTTTGACACAATTTAGTCCTTCATCTATTTGACCGTTTGTTGACCACGATCTTTGAGGATATATATGTAGTTTCATGTGCAAAGCTCAAGAGAACGCTCTTGGAGGTGACATCGTTGTTTCGGAGGGGGAAGTTCTTCTCCGCTTACTGCTTGGGGATCACAAGCCGGTTCAGCTTAAAGAATGCTCTTGGAGGTGACAACGCCGTTTCAGAGGGGGGAATTGCTTCTCCGCTTGCTGCTTTGGGATCCCGAGCTGGTTCAGCTCGCCTACATCGCTTGGAGTCACGGCTTTCTCGAAGAGCCACTCCAGGGACTTCGGCGATCTATCTATCAAAAGCTATAATCTCTCCGGCATGGGGTGCAGCGCCGGCAGTGGATTCAAATGTAACAGTGCGGTCTAGAAATGCAACCGGAACCTTAAAAAACTGACGATGGACCATGAAATTACATATATATCCTAAAAAAGCGCAGTCAACTAACGGTCAAATAGACAAAGGACCAAATTGTGTTAAAATTGCAAAGTTAAGGACTTAATTGGTTGAAATTAAAAGTCGATGACCAATTTGTGAATTTAGCTATAGTCGATGGACCATTTTGGGTATTTACTCAACAAAAATCGTGCCAGA